TTGAGGAATATTGACAATGGACAATGTACCTTCCTTTCATATAGTTGCATGGACGGCTGAAACGCCTCCGGTTCAGATGCAAATTTTAATCGCCGCCCCCCTCACACATTTCTTCAGTGGCATCTTCACCTATCTAGCGATGAGACACCGGCGCCAGTACTGGTGCGCATGTAACCCTTGTCTGCACTAAGAGCCAAGGGTTGCTCAGGGATCAACGAACCGCTCCCATACTCTTTGAATGCGCTCGGAATGGTTGGCTGTGAAAGGCCTCTAGCGAGTTGATTCAACTAGCTAGTCCCTAAACTGTTTACTATCAAGATGAAGAAGAAAAGGAAGTCGACATGATAACAGCGCCTTATACCTTCCCAATACGCCTCCACAGAAGATTCTAGAATCAAACCGCTGGGGAGTTGGTGATAGGCGGCACAGCCGCCGTTCAAGCGGCTTAACTAGCTAGTCCCTAAACTGTTTACTATCAAGATGAAGAAGAAAAGGAAGTCGACATGATAACAGCGCCTTATATCTTCTCAATACGCCTCCACAGAAGCTTCTGCCGTTACATTGGCTTAGTCTCGTTTGAGGTAATTTCAACGAACCTCGTGTCTATTCATTTTTGTGGAGTCGAAGGTGGGCCAGGCGACACTGCGTTAGATAAGGCTGCGTCGAACCCTAAGTCAGGGACGCCCACGCGCATAACTGCCTGTTAGACAGTCGTGTATGACAAGAGATCGAATACAATGGCGCCGATTGTCTTGAATGAGGATTATCTAAAGAACAGATTGAAAATGGGATGAAGGCGCTATTGACCTTGTAGGCAGCACCACCGAAGCGCGAACGCTGTGACGATAACTCTGGCCGAAACAATCTTGATATTAGGAAGACTTGGTGATACAATGAAAGGCAACGACTTACCCCATCTTGAGGTCCTGATATCCAACGATGTGCCATTCCACTCAATCGTGCCCGGTCAGTCGATACGAAGAGAGGCCCTTTGCAGTAGTCTGCCTGACTTAGGTAAGGACGTGTCCAAGGGATGCTAGTCAGACACTCTGCTTAATAGTATACCGCAGCCGGTAGCCAATACAACAGTTACAGTATTTCAATGCTGTGCATTATGGAAGCATCTAGCTAACTTCTTACGATTTAGCTCATGGATACCTTGGATATCATCTTCAAATTGTTCAAGATCTTTATTGCAATACTCGTCTTCACCAAAGGTCACATTTCTCGTTGATATGGCTTCACCAAGCCCTGGGTTCCAGATACGTGTCCGAAATATGGTGGCGCTATTATTGAGCAAAACTGATACGATGTATTTTTGCCTGTTCTTTTCCATTGTCTAACTTGATAAGTTGAGGTCTTTCATCTTTGCTCCCCAACCACCTGACTGAATTCAGGTGGCTGTCCAGCCTCATATTTGTAACAGCTAGAATGTGGCATCTGGACAGACCAAACCGATATTCCGTCCAACTTGCCATGGCCAGACTATCATCTGACGTAGAAACTCCAGACTGAACTGATGGTTTGTCCATCCCCTTCACACCGACTACACCCAAACATGTAGTGTAGTCACGAAACTAGCCTTAATGGTTGTAAAGGGTATCACGTGTGTATACACGTGACAATCAGGTCTCATTATGTTGCAAGGAAGCTGCTTTCTACCTCGCTCTTGCTTCCTTGCGCTACGCCTTGCTCTCTCGAACCTAGTTATAGACTTAGCTCCTCTTATCCTACTCATTTAGAATTTTAGATATCCTTGCCAAGCTCATTCCTAACATGAAACCCTCACAAGCTTGCTCAAGTCTGACCGACCAAATGGGTTGTCCGAGCTTTCAGCCTGACTGATTGGGCTATTAGGACCGACCACGGGAACAGATTGAGCCGAGTCGTTTAGTCCCCTTGGAGAATTTGCACTAACCGGTCAATCTCGAAACACTCATGAAGGACAATGCAATGTCACACCACATTGTGGAGTCAGAGTCCAGGACCAGGGCAGATTACTGTTGCCCCTGTGACAGGTGACGTTTCCGTTTTTGTCAAAACTACCTGAAAGGAAGTATTGGCTGTTATTCCCAAGTTCCGATTGGCTAACTGTTCAGCCCGACGAGGGTAGGCCTCTTGGCTGCCCCCACTTTAATTAGACTTTGCTGAGGCTCAAAGCGACCATGGATAGGTGATTCGCGCATGAGTATAGCCGACGACGAATCTTCCATGCACCTGTCAAATTTGTGGCGCTGAATCGCACGGTGTGCTATCACCTAGCATTCAGTATGCTGCTGCTGCCTGCAAGGCAGCAGGATTCTGATGGTCCTTATTTATGATGAAATTCTTCTAGTTTTAGAGAAGGAGAACAACGAACTCAACTTTACTTTGAAGAATAGATTTTTTGCAGTGATATTGTGCCACTGTATTTCTAACAGTACGCCGTCTCTCGTCTACCGCTACGTGGCCCTGTGTCCCTTCACACGCTGCATAAGCCATGGTATTTTACAGCATAAAACAAACATGGCAGTCTTTGTATATCGAGCTGTTACATTGCTCGTAATTACTTATAGAGTACCTTTGCGTTATGGAGCCACCACAATCCCCTCACTCTCGCGCCACTTATAGTCTAACTTTTCTGCAGTCGCACATGCCATGCCTTCTCCACCATGAAGTTTGACAACGTATAGACTGGCGTCCATTCCACAGCTCACGCCCCCACTACTAATGATTCTCGTGCCGTACTCATTGAGTCCTGAGTCAACGTATCGCGCTGGTATGACCTCTCCTGCAACTCCATGCCCCATGGCCGCGTTCATATTCGTCTTCTCCAAGTTCTTGTAAGCGCCCCAATGAGTGGTGCACTGTCGGCCTAAGAAGATACCCATGCGACCTAAGAAGATAGCGCCGGTACAAATAGATCTTGACACAGTGAGTATCCAATCGAACAATAAACATCAATCACTCACAGTAGGATCCTGGGTAGTCTACCGGCTCGAGGTGGAAGTTCATTAAATGTAGCGATTAGCTTCATGAAGCCACCTGCATTGCTGGCTTGTCTTTCGACTAGTTCTGTTGGGCCTCCTGGAACGACCAAAATATCGACGTCGCAAAGTGACTGAATTAGAGTTTGGCTCAATGCCACGTCGCGCTATAAGCTTACTTAGACAAACTCGAAAAGAATAGCTACTCCATATCAAAGTACCTTGATGTGAACGCCCTCAAACGAGGTAGTAATCTCCGTCTCTGCAGCAACGGTAACAGTAAATACATCTCGATTACCCGACATGCGGAAGATCTCGTAGGGACCATTCATATCCATGGTGTTGAAGCCATCGAACAATACCATGAGCACCTTTCTTGTGGCCATACTGGGCATGCTTTATTCTGTCAACAACAAAATATTGGAGTCAGACGTAGTTAGCCGGTAGTAGCGCAAGATGGTTGATTCAAAAAAGAAAAAAAGAAAAAGAGGTTATTGGGGTTTGTGTGTATTGATGGTGTCATGGTAAGACCGCCATTTTAAGTCAAGCAATTGTCTATAGAGAGCACAACATGTGCAGTCAAGGAAAGCCATGGTTAATGATTCCGTTCGCTAGCTATAACATCCCATAAGATTAAGGTTTACGTTCGTGTCATGCAAGTTCCAGATTCATATTAGACTAACGTCTGACCATTTGTCGCATCTTGAGCGCTTAGGTGCACATGTTGCGATATTCAATTTTTGTTGCTCAATTTGGCTATTATAGCCATCACTCCTCGGATTAGGACTGAATTGTGCCAGCAAATGCGCGGCGCTTGCCATAAGTACGATTTGTTATCGCTGAATGTTCAGAGCCTAGAAAAAACCATCAGCCTAACCTTGAATGGACACCTGGTACTGAAATAAAAGGCACACCCTGGGTACCTAACTAACCTTAGTCTTTTCGGTCTTTAAAGTGTACTGAAGCTAAGATGGTATTGAAGCCAAACTGGGAGCAGCTCGAAGCATAGTGTGAGGGAGACTTGAACTCCCGGACAAGGAAATAGACCTCGGCTTGAAGCTAGGTATAAAGGGCAAGGACCACCTAATGGGGTGTGTCAGATAAAGATGCCTATGCGACCGAACAAGCAGAGTTGACATAATTGTGTCGCGTTGTGCGGTTGCAATTCTTGTATATTCCTTGCTCTGTCTTTTTTCTGCACTGCGGCAACTCAAGGTCCTAATACTTTTCGGAATACTGCTGCCTTCAGGCAGCAGTATTACGATTGCTTTTGCCACCCAGGCAACAAAACGGTTGCGTGGTCAGACAACAGAAGCACCATTATCCGACAAATTGCTGGATGTCATGAGTTCATAGATATCAGAGACTTGAGACTGGGAAACGTTCTAGTGGACTTGGTGAAGAAATCTAAGTTAATAATGAATCTCATGACGTGACATTACGTACGTAATAGGTTTTCGCATTCCAAAGCAAGGTTCCCCAGTCATGGCTGTCGGCATGCATGATGTTGACCCCTTCTGAGCACAGCCGCTGGCTGACTCCGGTTATGTCCGGAAGATACGTTGCGCCTGTATGAATGTAGCTTCAAGTGTTACAAGCTGCAACACGCCTCACACTAGTTGCTTCCAAAGACGGACCTGATTATAGACGCATGCAGAATAATGGTATTCTTCTATATCTGTGACGGTCTAAGAGCACGAACGAGATCTAGTGCGACTTGGAAAAGCGATCTTTCACAAGGATACTCGTGCCACGCCCCACTTGTTTGGGACTCGCGACACTCGCACCAACAAAGTTGGTGCTGGACACCCACATAACCAGATCACCCATATAACCGATTCTCGGCAGCTCAATGTACTTTCGTCCTTTATTCGATGACCTTTTGATCTTACGGCATATTGCAATGAAAGGAAGTATTCAAAAGGCCTCGAAGTATATTTAAGAATTTCCTCATGCCAAAATTGCCAGGATTGCGCGAGAGTTTTGCGTACCACGCGGGCGGCTGCGTTACCGCCTCGAGGGCCGTACCACACTCTCAGACCGCCCACCAACCCACACAAAGCTTCCTGCCCCTGAAGAGAAGACGTTATGTCGGTATATTGGTCGCCTTGATCGTATTAATCTCGCAGTGCGTGATAATTTGTTACTGACGCGGCAAATACCACCTTAACAGAACGGTGTGGGTCAGAGGAGGCCCTGACCGTTGGAAGAAAGTGGACTGCTCGCTAGTTGAAGCGTCATTTGTATAGCAGAAGGCTTCAAAAGAAGATGCATTGGGATCGTAAAGCTTCTGAAGACCTAAAAAGAGTCAGTGTTTCCAATGACTCTTACTATTTCGACTGAGGAGGGTATCCCGCCTGAAGATACCTGGAATATGGACGAGACTGGATTCCGTATTGGGACTGGAAAGAACCAGCTTATTGTCACTAAAAGGAAGAGGGCTCATGATTTCGGCGTACCCGAAAATAGGGAGTCTGCTACTATGATTGAGAGCATCTCTGTAGGAGGGCGTGTGATTCCTGCCTTCCTCATCTTTTCTGGACAGATGCATGTGGCTAGGTGGTATGGCGTGCCTGGCCTGGATGACAATGCTGCCATCAGGCCAAATCCTAGTGGCTATTCTAACGATGAGATAAGTCTCGAGTGGCTTGAGCACTCCAATAAGTGGTCGGTTCAGGGCTCCCTGGGTAACAAGCAGGCTGGTCATCAATTCCACCTCAACCTCAACCCCTTCAATATTATTGAAATTGAAGTCACGTGCATCAATTCAACCAACTCAACCCAGCCATCTAGTTGATGGACTCAATCCCACCTCGATGGCTTCAACGTTGACAACCGGTTGAAAATGATGATTGATTGATTGATTGTATTTTCCGTCCAGCGACCTTGGTCGCTCAGGTCCCCTATCGGGGCACAGGACGTGCTGAGCTAAACTATGTACAAATCCAAACCACAGATGAGCTTCACCCAGCGCTTCTTGCAAGACCTCGCAGGTTGAGCCGTCAGGCTCACTCTCAGGAGGCGGCTTACCTACCCCGGCAAAGGAGATAGGTTGTCCCCAGCACACAGTACAAGTGTCTATGGCTATTCCCTCTGAGTATCAATCCTTCCACAGTTTATCCAGCATTGTATCAGCTCCCCCCAGGCTGCAACCTAACATGAACAAGCATGGTCTGCCGTGGCCCAGGTTAGCGCTCTCGTTCGGGGCCCTCATCCCGTCAGCGGGAGTGTTGGGCAGTGGCCGTAGCCATAATGGTCAACCCTTGGTTTTCCTGGTCAGAATTCTCTCGCGCCCTCGCCAAGGCTGCTGCCGCAGTCCACGCTCCAGTAACCAAGCGATGGAAATGGCGCCGGGGCGGCGGCAGGGAAAAACTCTTCGAAGGAATCAGAGGCTGTCGAGCAGC